ACACACACACACACACACACACACACACACACACACACACACATACATACACATACACACACACACACAAGGTCAGAAACATGTAGCTGATTATGGCTTATCAAGGTGTTGTTCGACTCTCATTACCACAGACTAATACAATGTGCCACCATCTGTGTGTGTGTGTGTGTGTGTGTGTGTGTGTGTAACTTAAGGTGCATGTGTTACCATTACACCCGTGTTGCTTAAATAGACGCTTGTGACAGTTGGCACAGTGTTAGCCTTTGCTATTCATAGACATACAGTACATCCACTCACTAAAGCTACAGGTGAGCTGCTGGTCTCAAACATCTAGTACTTACAGCAGTCACATCTGATCAGGTAACATATCTGCTGTGTCCATGACAAAGATACCAAATGTTTCCCACTAGTCATCGAGGCTGTGGCGGTCGGCCATAATCTCATTTGTCCTGCCACAGTTTCATAATGAATCAAACATCTGACATTGCTAGCTTGGTGGTTTTGCTCCGTTGCTGCATTGTATATCTGTGTGCTCGTGCACTCGCACCATCGTCCACAGAGTTGTTACTGTTGACGCGTTCATTCACAAATGTCTGATTCTCTGAACGTCTGTCAAAGTGACACACATACATCAGGACACTCATTTGTGTGGGTTTGTGTGAGACTTTGCGCTGGTGATCGTAGTGTGGAGTCAATATCGAGCTGAAACATGCTGAAAACTGTCATGAGTCAATTCATCCCAGTTTGTTTGGTCCATGTCTTATCTGCTAACATGGAGGAGGCAGAGTTTATGGTCTATACTGCAGCCTGCCACCAGGGGGCTACAATTTATGGAGCTGTCTTAACTGTCTTTATTTACAGTTAATATCAATAACAACAAACAGTTTTAAGGTTTTAAGGAACAGTTTGGTATTAAAGAGTTAAAAAATCTCAGCCTTCAGTATTTTACTGATGGCTGCCATCTCTGTCCATCACGTCTCATTTTTAATGCTTCATGAAGTTTTTTGCTCTCTCGTCTTTAAACCTTAAAGATTTGTTACCATGGCCTCTCAGCCTCTGTCCAACATCCATCCCTCTCATTTTCTCTCTGTCACTCCGGCGAGTCTCTTCCCCGGGGGGGATGTTTCATACTGTGTTCTCACCTCTTTCCTTTTTTTATAGGAAGACAGAAGCAACACTCTCTAAATATTAAATGTGGCCAGTCAAGCACCTCGACTTGACCTCTACGTGAACTCGCTCTCAAAAAGTATTAACTTCTTACTGTTGAATAAGGGGAAAGAGTTTCTAACACTGTGACTTGTCAAATCATGAAATAAATAATGTGACTGACACCAGAGAACTGGATTTGGGTGTATATAAAACATTAATGTTGTTAGACAAACAAACTCAATGTTGCACTATTATGAATCCCAAAACATTTAAATAATTAAGAAAGTATTAAGTAGAATAAATGGTATTTAAAATTGTCTTCGGTTGAAGCTCTAATTCACACTGATCACCTTCCTAAATTTAAGCCTATTTAGTTTTTCTATACTATAAAAAATCTGCTGATGCTTCACAACATTTTAGTTTCAGACTGATATTGTGAGAATCCAACATTTGTTCTTGTGTGCGTCTCCTCCAGCAGCTTGTCAGCGTTCATCAGTTATCGCCACGCTCAGCAGGAATAATGAGGCTCGCAGCCATGAAACACAATTACTCTCACATTTGTCTGCCAAGTACATTACACGCACAAGTCGTCCAACTTATTGTATGTGAGTGTGTCACCTCACGGATAAGACGGGCAGTCGTCATGGGGGTGCAGGGGTGGGTACTAAGCTGGTTTAGAAGCAACATGTCGGATTTTCAGGCTGATCTTGAATTTTGTGGTGTTGAACTTCGGACTCGACATGAACAGACCAAGATATTTTGGAACTAAACTTGTCCAGTCTGTTGTTTTTATAATGCAGAAATAAGACAGTAGTCAAAACTCAATGAACCTGTTAATAACGATGGTTACATAAGGCTGGATATTAATTAAATATTACTCATGCTCTCCCAAAAGTGAAGCCAAAGCGTCATGTTCACAAACCACAACTGCTAAGGCGTCCCACTTTTTTTTATTTTGAGTGACTTCAGTATTTCACACACTCAGCCTCACACCAGCTTTGTGCACTGTGATTTAAAAATGTTTCCATCTGTTTTAAAAGTGACAAAGAGGCAGAAACTGGGAGATTTTTTAAAAAAGGAGGTGAGAGCATCCTTCTCTGGCAGAAAATAGTAAAGAGAAGGAAAATATAACAAGTCGACAGAAGGAAGTGGATAAAGAGAGACTTCCTCTGTTTGACAGTGAGAGAGATGAAGGGGTATTTATAGATAACAGTATTATTGTTGCTTCACTGGTTACGTCAGATATAGTGGAGGAGATGAGTAAAAGTGGGATGAATAGGAGGTGAGGAAGAGGAAGAGAGGAGGCTGAAGAGGAGGAGAGCAACCATCAAGACATGGAGGACAGAGAGGAAGAAAAATGAGGACTGAGGCTGGAAGATTGAAGAGGAGGGGAGGAAGAGTGGAAGTATGACAGGGTGGAAGAAGAAAGGGATGAGGAGAAGGAAAGATGCTTGAGGACTAAGAGGATAGGAAGAAAAATGTGCACAGAGAGGAAGAAGAGAAGGGACAGAAAGGACAAGAGGAGGATGACAAAAGGAAAAAGAGAAAACGAGATGAAGGAGGGAAGGAGAGGATGTGTTCTCTCTCCATCTCTCTCAGCAGAGATAAAACAGACATGAGGCGCGGCAGACTAGAGATCTGCAAATGATTTAGAGATACCATAACAGGGCGGGCGTTCATAAAAATGATATCATGATGTTGGCATTTGAGAATATCTTGATAGGTGGAACTCCTTCTCCTCCTTCCAACTGAGAAAAGAGGAGAAAAGTACAGAGAGAGAAAAATATTGTGTGTGTCACAGAACACGCTGACCCTGATCTACACTCATTCATCACTGCTGCATGTGTACTGTGAGTTTCTGCTGTACAGGCTCATGTCTGTCCGGCCAGTCCAACATACAGAGACCTGTAATTACATCAAATGATGGTGTGTGTGTGTGTGTGTGTGTGTGTGTGTGTGTGTGTGTTTGAGGCACTGGAGTCTCCTCAGGCATGCGCTGAAAACACACACTTGTGTTCGTGTCCATGCAGACACACACGATCCAACGAAAACCATGATGTAATGCACAATCTCACATATACACACACACACAGATTTGTGCAACTATCCTTGTTGGGACTTATTCGACATCATTGTGGACAGACTAACCAAAACCTGGACCTATGGTTAAGGTCCTGAAAATGATCTTAAGCTGGAAAAAATCCTTAAGTGGTGACAAAGACGAACAAAAATACACACACACACTCACACACACACAGTATCTCTCTATGGATGCAAGGCTGCAGGGTGTGAACGCAATACTTCAGCACAGAAACATTCAGGAGGTATTTATACACACACACACACACACAGTTCACTGCAGGACTGAGATGTGACACATGACTTCTATATTTCCTAAACATTCTTTGGTTTATGATTCATTTGTTCCTCCATTTATGAAAGTTTTCGCTGCCTGTGTGTTGGATGTTGTGTGAATGTGACACTGCAGATCTAAAGTAAAGATGTGTGTGTGTTGTTGTGTTATTGGAAGGTGTGGTTGGTCCTGAAGAGTGGGTGGTTCCTCCACCATATGGTCTCTGAGGTCCACACACACACACACACACACACACACACACACACACACACACACACACACACACACACACACAGTCAGAAACATGTATCTTTCTGACAAACAAACAAATTACTGTCGTGTGAATGGAGTTTGAATTTGATTTTCCTCCCATGGTGCATCCTCTAATCACTGTTGGTTCTGACGCCTGGTTTATTAAACTGAAGTGGAACACCTCAACTCCCTGGGTCTCATCGTACTTATAGTATAGGCCCATCTTTGTTGATCCTGAATCATATAATTAATGGCTCAGAGATGCAGCTTCACCTTTCACCTGCCGCCACGTCAATGAAGTGGATAAATTACTCCACAAAAAAAGAGAAATCCAGGGTCACAGCTTTGCTCTGGATTCATGCAGTCTGTTTCATGGAGAGAAGAGGAGAGAGCATGGAGTGTTGCTCTGTCTGTATTTGTCTAGACGTTGTGCTCAGCAGCCTTCCAGGCAGACAGAACATCCATTATTCAGCTGCTGGCAGGCTTCTGACTGCTCCACAGCCAATATGACTATTTATGTTGCTACTGTATGTGTGTGTACACTGCACAGAAAACCACCCATGTCAACAAGTGATGTATTTTATCGATTGTTGAAAAGTGCCACTGAATAGCTGCACTTGATATTTGCAGCTTGTTATGTTTCAGAAATTCTTGTATTACTTTTGAAAGTAAGTAAGGGACTGTAGTGAGACACAGAGACACCTTCATCTCCTCCTGGGGTTTGCTGATGATCCCACACTCTGCTCGCTCTTCACCACCACAGCGCAGTAATGCTACCAACAGTGCTGACACTGCAGCAAACCAACAACACAAAGGAAAGGTTTGACATTTCGGGGACACAGGTGGTGTTCTTCTGTCCAGGAATCCAACGTGATATATTATGTTGGTCTGCTCCATATAAAAGTTGAATATCCTTTCATTAAACTCTCAGCAAGAAAGTGAGTATATACAGTTGATGACGCTTCTAACACACGACAAGCGCAAAAATGAAAAAACTAAAGGAAAAGAAATATCTCCCGGTGAATAGGCGGAGTCGTACAAGTAGAAGATGTCTAGAGAGTTTGTGGTGACAACTGTGTGTTGTCAGGAAAATCATGTGATCTCCGCAGCAGAGTTTACACGTCACTTCCTGTCTCAATGTTGTGAACCTCCCGCTGCCTTGTGCGCGTGTTAAAAGGCAAAGCGCAGGTAAACTCTGGACCCACGTCTCCATCTTTTACCCGCAGGTCATGTTTGAAAACAGCTACACGGTCCTCTGTCTCCTGAAGTCGCTAAGCCCAAAGCCACAGGAGCCAAATGGGTCATTAACTCTTCCCAGCCTCCCTCAGTCTGTCTCATGCTGTTGAGGTGTCAACGCGACAACTGGGTGGCCTCTGCTTCACACGGGGCCGTAAAACACTCCTGGAGCCTCACCCAGGTCTCCATGGCAACAGTTGGGCTGCCAGTGCTCTTCAACCTAATCCACTGGTTCAGTTCAGCCAAACCAGGAAGTTCCTTTTACTTTTCAAGGTAAACACATTCCTGTGTGATTGTGTATCAATAAATTAATCAAGAGTTTTATTTTATGAATCTGATGCAGTGTGAGGCGACGCTAGGCCTGTTCAACACCGATGGTTAACTGATTTAACTCAGACTCAGTCGTAGAATCACAAGTTTTCTTTTGACTTATAATTCACGCTGTGGTCAGTGGGACCATCTAACTCCAGACACAACCAAACTACTTCAGTCACTGATTTAGTGATTTAGGGTTTTCTCGTGCCTTCACTTCCTTCACACTAACTTAGTTTGTGTCTAAAACTGTTTTTTAAAAGATTCTTAAAAGCACATTTACAGTAGGCATGAACCTAGTGATCATCTCCATTAATTACTAATCTGCAGATCACTTTCTGCATTAAACATGTCAGACACTACCATAAATACTTATTTTGTCCGACCAATGGACTGAAGCTAAACAATATTCTTCATAACAGACAAAAACACAGAAAATATAATAACAATAATCATAACAATATAACACACAATTAACCAGTAATCAATTAATTTTCTCATCATTTCAGTTCTATTACAGTAAATAAAAATGAAGATTCAACAGGTTAGCTTTCCATTCTTTCATGACTATGCTCACATTCACACAGCTGAGGATTTCACACTGAGGTGGATAAAATCTGAGTAGAACAGGAACTTCAATCTCAAACCACCAATGCTTTTAAATCAGCTCCACACACTTACAACTTTTCACTACTAGGGAAACTGGTCAGTCTCAGATGAGAGGCCCAGGGATTTTTTTTTTTTTTATAACTACCGGGAGCAAAGTGCAACGTCAGCCCATTTCAGGAGGAGAAAGACTGTACTGTATTTATCCAGCTGACTCAGACATGAGGCTGAGGGTCAATAGGCAGTAATGAGGAGGGTACTGTAGATGAGAGCTGTCTGCCTGTGTGCAATCAATAAGAGGCAGCAGATGTACACACTGTCTGATCTGCCAATGCCACAAACACTCCTCCTGAAAAAATCTACTGGCACATCTACAGAGTAAATACCGACTGAACTCTCCGGGACCAGGGAAGTGCAGTGATTTCTGCTGAGCCACGTGGAAACTTTGTCGTAACATATTACTGTGCATGTATCATAGAAAACTACAAGGTTTCCAGCAATTACAGATGCAGAGGCTGTTTGAAAAAACACACTGAGGTCAAAGTAAGTCTGTACCGAGTACCACACACATATTGGCATCCTTATAGGAACACTGAAGGACATTTAAACAGATAACTTCAAAATAAGACTGGATTTATGCTTCCTTGCCGCTCTATCTGGCTGAAGTAAAAGCTCAGTGTGTGAAATCCACAGCTAAAAACCTTAGTGTGAGAAGAACCTCTCTCTCCAAGTCTAATGGTCAAAGACTAACTTAATTATTATTAGAGTTAATCTAATTACTTAACAGAAACACAAAAAGTGATTCCAGCATTTATTAAGTCTCAGCTGAATTAGTGTAGTGCTGTGTTTACTTCTTCACTAAGAAATGACTGCTCTGCCTCAGGGGGTTTTTCCCAAGTCACAAACTCATCATGATCGTATCTCCCTTAGTTTCCCATCATTGGCTGCCTGTGTGATTTTCATTTTATAATATTGACATTGACTTTCAAGTGGCATAGTTTGACACCCAGCTTCTGTCCAGCCTGTGGCCTCAGATCTTCTGAAAAGAGCCTGTTGGATATTCCTCGGTGAAGACTGAGGACTAAAGATGACAGGGCCCCAACCCCGTGGAACAGTTATGAGCTTCCCTGTCTGTTTTTAAATCGTCTCCCAAAACTTTCTCTTAGCCAAAGACTTTTACCAAATGGTTATTCACATTTACTTATGTTTCTATTACCCGCTTCTCCTTCTTCTTTGTTCGGTTTATTCACTTTTGACAGACTTTTAAATGTCATATTGTTCTAGTTGTTGTGTTGAATTATTCTGCTCGTTGCCTCTGATCACTTGTTCTCATGAAGATCTTTGTTTTTAAATGTGCCACACAAATAAAGTTATGGGTAAAATGTCCAATAAAGATTCAGTTCTACTATCTTCGTTAAATTATTATCTCAGATAAGGTCTGAAAAATGAACTTAAAATGCAAATGTGCTTCGGGCAGCGTCTATTCTTGGACTACAGTAAATGGGCATGGCTCGGACTTTCTGATGAATCACGTTACAGGTTTATATTTTCTGAAATTCATTCATTCATTCATTCTAGACTCGGCCTGTCGTTAAACCACCGGTGAAAACTCCCGTGTTCTCTCCCGGGGTGAACAGGGAGGACACCGGGGAAGAAAAACCATCACCACCATCCTCCTGCGGCTCCGTGTGTGCGGGCTGACGGGCCTGTGAGGACCGAGGCGTTCACTCGTGGATGTGGAGGTGAGGAACGGGAGAATCGTGGCGTGCTCCCGGGCTGCAGTTTCCATTAACCCCAGATATCCTCGGAGAACCAGCCCCTGGGCTCCGTGCCTCACTGGGTGGAGGTGAGCGGCTGAATCACAGGTGGAGGTAACCGGCTGAATTAGAGACAAAGTGGAAGCACTCACCGCTGCTCCGGAGGTTGACTGAAAAACCAGAGTGTTGGGGGTAAACGTGGGGCTCATGTATCCAGGGAAGCGTGCTCTGCTGCCGGCTCCGCTCCGCTCCGTCTCCCTCCTGCTTCTTCCACAGCAGACCGAGCTCCGGTTATTGTTAGCCACCAGGGCCCGCCCTCTCCCTGCGGCACTCCCGACACGCCATTGGTCATTGCCCAGCCTCGCTCGTCGCCGATTGGCTGCCGAGGATGTCCGTTCAAATGTCAGGGCGGGTCCGAGCGCGCCGGGCGAGAGTGAAAAGACAGTGGTGGTGCGTTCACTGCAGAGAACAGTCCGACATTTCAGCTCCCTCCAGGACCCTGCAAACTGTGTTGCATTCAGGTGTAACTCCGTCAGTATATAATTGAGCAAGAAAGAAGAAGGTTTTTATAATAACTCATCTATAAAGTCAAGATATGTTTTCATCTTACACACAATTATTATTGTTGTTGTTATTAAGAAGAAGATTATCTATATAAAAAACATTATGTGCAAATGTAGTTAAGTATTTTGATTCTCATTGTAATTGTTTTTTCTTTTTTGTATTGTCTTATGTTGCCTTTACAATTTGCCATGATGCCTTTTATATTTTATGTAAAGCACTTTAATTTGCCTTGTTGAAGTTCATCTCACAGAAATTATACAAGCACAAACATGGGATGTGGAAAACTGCTTTTCTTGGTCAAAATCTATTTTGTATAGTATAAAGAAAGTCGTATTAGTGTTGCCTCAATGTAGTCCAATACAAAAAAAAACCACACAAACTGAGTCTTAAATAGATTAAAACAATACATTTATTTAAAATAAATATTTTAAATTAGTGCTGGTGTTTTCTCTCTGTGAAAACCTGTTTTTGTACTGGTGACTGTGACACTGTCACTCACGGATCTTTGGAAATCTAAAGGAGGTAGAAAAAGAATCTGCAGGAGCAAAGGAAGATATTTCTGATGATGATTCTCAGCCTGATATTCTAGCATATTATCTTTTTTACAAATTGTGTTTATTACATATTGAAAACGATGATCTGTTCTAAAAGAAACTGATCAGGTTTCAAGACATGATGAACACTATATGAAGAACAGAACAAGAAGACAGCGACATCTAGTGGTTTTAAGAACTGCATGAATTCTTTAACTAAGATAACTTTTAAAAACAGAAAAGAAATATATAAACAGGCTGTTTCTCCTTTAATCGAATCAAGTTTCTGAGCACAAGTGAATAAAATACAGATATTTCAGATCTGTCCTCAGTGTGCAGCTTCAATACTGAGTCTAATGTTGACCTTCCAAATATTAAAGTGTTTTTACACATTAATACAATAATCAAATCACATGTGTTTCACAGTTATTGTAATTGTTCTTCCTTTTCACACTGACCATTATAAAACAGCTTGAAGAAATTTGATGAAAGTGACAAAATCTTCCAAATGAACAATGGATAATGTCACTATAAAATGTCTGTAACTTTGGAAAATGAATACCAACTTAATAAAATTACTAAGACTTCTGACCCATGATATTCCCTCCAGTTGAATGTTGAGATGTATGTTTCCATCACATGCTCTGAATTTCACCTTTACATATTTTTATTATTATAAGTTCCAATTTAATGAACATTAGGAGAGATGGACTTTGACAAAAGAGTCAGAGGAAGAAGAAAGAAAAGCAGAAGCATAGAAAGAAGAGAGGAGCAGTAACATCAGCAGGAGGAGGAGGAGGAGGACCATGAGGAGGACTGTGGAGCTCAGTCACTTCCGCACCATGTGAGCGACCTGATGATGCTCATTTGCTCCGGACCAGATGCCGCATCCTCCCGGAAAGATCCGCAGAGCCCGAGCAGCGCTGAAGCTTCCATCCGCCGGAGGGAGCGACATTCGTGGGGGAGAGAGAGACCCGAGGCCGGGGAGGAGACTCCAGCAGTTCCGCTCATCACCGGAGTCTGTCTGAAATGAGTGCGGACGTTGCGGTGTCTCTGCTCGTGCTCGCGGGGATCGTCGGGCTCAGCGACGCGACCCGCAGGTTGATCAGCAGGAGCCTCGCGCGCACGGGGCTCTGCGTGTACGCGGTGGAGCTCGTGTCCACCTTCCAGCTGTGCTGCTGCACGCACGAGCTCAAACTGCTGTCCGAAGTGGGCGGGATCGAACCCCGCGTCGCGCTCACTCTGACCTACCTGGCCGCCGTGGTGCACCGACTCACGTTCAGCGGCGCCATCGGTAACCCCTCCGGGACCCTCGAGCACGCGTACCGCGCGACGATCACGGGCGGGTGCGCGTTGCGGAGGATCGCGTGCCAGTTCGTCGCGGCCGCCGCTGCACGAGCCGCGGTCCCGGTGATGTGGGGACTCGGGTTGTCGAGGCTGCACGTGCGGCACAAGCTGTTCGGTTACCGGTGCGTGAGCCCGGTTCACGCGCCCCTGCACCAGGCCGCCGCCGTGGAGCTCGCGTGCGCCTTTGCGGTGCAGACTGCCATCACGCACACGCGATTTGTGGAGGAGAAATATCGCGTGCACGCGATAGCTGCGGTCACCGCGTCAGTGGTTTATGCAGGTATGATGACGTTTCTGAACCACGTGTGAATAATATGTAATGATAATGTGAGGTCAAAGGTCAACCTGCTGACATCCAGGGTCCCACTCACCTGCACTTTTAATATAATGAAATAAAACAGCAACATAAAGATTCATGTCAAGGGTCTTTGGGCAAAACCAACCTGGGAGGTTCTGTTCAAGTTATTTCATCTGACGAACAAACAAAGAACACAAGAGTCATTCATATACAAAATATTCCATTAGATAGACAGATAGATAACTTTATTCAGTTATTAGGTAGAAGAAATTAGAAGAGAAAAGATAAGTTAATACAGAATCATCATTCAATCTAGAAAGATCACTGGGGCTCTAATGTTTTAAGACAAGTTTATAATACTTATTATTGCTCTGTACATCAAATCATATAGTCTTCAACCAAACGCCTCAAATCAAGAAGCGTTTAGTAGAAAGTCTCGGTACACGGTGGTCAACCATGGTGTTGTTGCAGTCTCCTGCATGTAGCAGATCATAGAGTTTTTTTTGACAAACATAATCACCTGTTCTCGGGGGCCACCTCTCAGCTCAGGTATTATCCTGTTGCAACATCCCTGTGAACACAACTGAGCAAAACCTGCAACTCTTGATGTCTAATGACATGATTCACATCTATTCGATCATAAAACATTGAGCAAGAAATCAACTTCAACCTTTCCACTGAGAGAAACTGATTTAAGAGCATGTTCAACATGAACGCAGTGATGATTTATCAGTTGACTTGTGTGTACTTGTGTGTATTTGTGTGTCCAGGCGGCAGTACGACAGGAGCAGTGTTTAATCCGGCCTTGGCCTTCTCCACTCAGTTCCCCTGCAGCGGACACTCCTTCCTGGAGTACTGTGTGGTCTACTGGCTGGGTCCACTGCTGGGTAAGACCACAGACTGACTCTGACCCAAGTAAAGTCTTAAAACAACTTTATGCACGATTTGACTTAAACCGGCAGCTTGATCAAAATGAGTCTGATGGTTCGGTGAGTGTGAGCGTCTGTTCTCTGTTACTCTGCTGAATGGGTTCGATCTCCTGTGAGAAGAAGTGACTGAGAGTCACAATCAGCTCCCGACAGCTGAAGAGTGAAGCTGAACTGTAGATAAAGTTAAAAACACTGAGAAGTTATTAACAACCAGAGTTTATCTCCAATATTCAGCAGGAAACTTTAAAACACGAAGAATTCTGAACAGAGTTTGGTGGATTTGTTACAGCCACAGCTCTTCTGGTTCAGACAGCAGAGGATCATGGGTAATATCAGGCATTCAGCTGTGTTTCAGTTACATTTCTAAATATAAAAACCACTTCATCACTGGGACACGGAGCCAGACAGAATTAATCACCACATGGTTCTGCAGGGGGCGCTGTTGCTCACTATAAGTTACAGAGTGCTGCTTTAAGAACAGTGATATCCTTAAGTTCTTGTTTATTAAAGCGAATCCAACTTTTTCCCTCTTCTTCTTGATACTCGTGTGGTTCCAGGTATGATGAGCTCGGTGCTGCTGTTTGAGAAACTCGTCCCCCTGTTGTCAAGGAAACCAACGTCTCTCCATCGTTCCGTGGAGACAAAGAAGAGGACTTGATTCTCGCAGGTAGATTCCTGGAGCACAGATGGACTCAGTTAACCTGCTGTTGACCTCAGATGTTAGACACTGACACGCACTTTTCTTAAAGACACTTGAACCTGAAGGTTTCTGTTCGTCCGTAGTGATGATCCAGACTGTAGATGATTTAACCTCAAGAGCACATGTTGGAAGTAAATATACTCATTTGACTGTTTTGTTTGTTTTATGTCACAGGAGGTCGATCGATCACTGTTCAAACACTGAAACTTTATTAGAAATGTCCCTGAAATAACAGAGATTTTGATGAAATGAAAGTTTGCATGAGTTTTGGGTTGACTGCAGTCGTGTCTGTTTTGTAACTTGTAAATAAAGACGGACGAGGTGAAGGCTTCAGATCGTCTTGATCACCCCCTGGTGGCTGGCAGTTGAAAGTACTGCAGTTGCAATAGTACAATGAGCCAAGTAAAAACCTTGTGATGCATTTACGTTTGTTAATTCACAGAACAATGGGACAAGTGATAATGGATGATGATATGTGGTACTAATACACTAAACTTTTCTTTACAAAGTGCTCAATATTTAAATAATAATACATAATGTGACATTCCAGAGACGAGCACAGTGATGTGTAGTTTTATGGTTTTAAATTTGCACAGATCGAACTGGTGCCTTTTGAATTCTCTGTAAAAATTGGAAAGGCACAATAAACAGTTGAAATACGATTGAGTGACTGGTTGATTTCAGTGTGTGAATGATGCTGGATGTAGTGTAGAAATTCAAGAACTAGAAAATTAAGAGAAAATTTATATTTGGAAATTTATATTTTTTTGATTTTGTGTTTCATAAATGTGAGGATGAGCAGGTTTTGTTTTGTATCATAGAAAATAAAAATATTCTAACTTTAAAACCAACAGTCCCAAAACCATTTCTACATATTTTTCTAAGCCACAGTAAATAGTTATCTTTAAATGCAGGCGTTATTTAAAGACAGTAGACTGATGTTCAGTATTTATGTTTTTTATCAACATTAAACTTGTTACAGTGAACATATTTGCAAAAACTTGATTTACTCACTGAGCAGATGCAGAGAAACCATCATTCATTTTGTCCACCTGATGATTCTGCATAGGTTTGTTATTGTGAACAAACTTCTCATATTGTGTTAAGTAACAAAAAGTCCCACTGGAAACAGTTTAGTTAAGAATGAGGCTGAACTAGTTTTTTTATTTTTTTTTTAAATCCTGAAATAAAACTTAATGGGTTTTTTCCCCAGGCCCCGTCCTGAAAGCAGTAAAGTAGTTTTCATGCTAACAAATAAACCAACAAACAGACGCAGGTGAAAACATAACGTCCTTAAACTAAAGTAATAAAAAGGGCAAAGAAATTCCTACAAAAACTAAGCATTTATTGACATTTGATACAAAGACATGAACTTTCCTGAGCAGGAAAATCTGATATTACATTTGTCTTTAGGACAAAACAAACACAAACTGGTATTTCTTAGCAGTTAACAACAGGATGTGAGAGTTTGAAGCTGCATCTCGAGAAGTCTCCTGTTGTTGACTTGGCTGTTTCACAGAAGTGCAGAACAACACATTGTTCAGATGGAGGTTAAACAGAAAACACAACGAGCTCTATCAAGGTAAAGAGAAAACTACTGGGATGTCTTCAAGTACAAGGGAAAAGTAAGTTTGACATCAAGAACGTGGAGAAAGTACAAGAGATGATAGAGCTGAAAGAACGGCCACTGTCCTCCCCTCCAATCCCATGATGCAACTCCAGTGCTTTGATTGGTTGCTGAGATGAACTCCATCTACAGAGAGGCAGACAACAAATCAGATGTTGTCACATTATGATCATAGATCAAGTTTCTGATGATCTTTATTCTTATGTTGATGCTTTCAGACACTTGTCAAATCTTGACTTTCAAAGTGAACTACACACAAACACGTTCATACAAACCACTCAAAGTCTGTTTAGGTTTGAAGTTCAAGTGTCAACTTTTAAAACCTCAATTTCCAAAAAATCTAAATGAAAAAAACGTGATCAGCATCAGGTGACAAAATTAAAACTGTGACCGGTGCAACGTTGAACAACTGAGAGTAAAGACTGAGGGAAAGAGCTCCGTTTGTGAAACTGTGGACATCCAGGGTTACCGTGACAACTGCAACCGTGGGTTGATGGTTAAGATGGTGGGTAACCTGTGGATCCCTGTTAGATATCATCAGGTGTTAAGTTAGTCGATACGGTGAAACGTACCAGTGCTCAACGTCTGCATCCTCAAACTGACCGGCCTCCATCGCTGCTGCATCCACCTCCATACCATCTGTCCGCAACACAATCAAACAAGCCCTGGTGATTTATGTAGAGGTGTGTGTGTGTGTGTGTGTGTGTGTGTGTGTGTGTGTGTGTGTGTGTGTGTGTGTCAAACCTTCAAATTCAGCTTTGCTCTCCTCAGTCCGGACTCCGGCCATGTGGTACTGCTGAGAAACACTCTGGGCCAACATTCCCTCCAGCCTCTCCAGCGTGGCCTGGCCCTCCTGCGTGAGCGCTGACAGACCCTCGTCACAGGTGTAGAAGCTCGGGATGTCTGCATGGCCATGCTCTGGGTGGAGGTGGAGGAGAGAGACGGTGACTACGACAGATTCTCCACACAACAGTACAGATACATGTCTGCCACTGAAACGGAGCAGGTAGAATATTTGTAGAGTTTATTTGTCTCTCACCTGCCTCTGCAACCGAAGAGTCCAGAGAACCAGAGATAAAGAAACACAGAGTCAATAACATCGTTCTGTTCAAGTTTTAAACATTAGAGAAACTGAACTGGAGCATGTGGAGTTTTTCACATGACAACTAGAGGCTGAACAATATGGATGTTTGGAGGCTGATGCTGCTAAAACAATTTCTAACAGACTGATAACGTTGGAGTGTGAGTGTGTGTGTGTGTGTGTGTGTGTGTCCTCACCGGCCTCCTCCACGTCGTACTCTTCTCCTTCGAAGTCGTTGTCGGAGTCGTCGTCTTCTGGGTCGGGGTGCAGCGCCTGGCACTCGCACATCGCTGAGAACATGGACTCCACTGAATGTAACACACAAGCCCAACAAAACAGTGAACAACTGCAGGAGCATTTAAAGCAGGATAATCTTTCAATTCTATGAGAAACACTTAAAATAATATTCAATAAAGAAAAAAGTTCCGTTCTACAGCTTGGTGTTTTAAAAAAAAGGACTTGTAGAATTAAAGTTTACTTTAAAAAAAGCTTGAAGAGTTCTGAAATCCTTTGTGCTTGTGGATCTGTCATTAAAATACAAACACAACTGAAGAATGAAGAATCAGTAACATAAACAACAAGATTGCAAAGCCTCAGTCTCAGGAGACACCGTGAAGTCGGTGTCGTCCTACGTGCAGTCACTCACATGCCGCCTTGTCGCTGGGCACAAATCGGATCTCTGTGATTGGTCCTTCTTCGCCATCATCACCGCTGCTGCTGCTGACGCCATCTTCTTCTTCGTCATCATCAGCGGGTTTCTCTGCCATTTCTGCCTCATTCTCACCTGAAAGAGACGAAGGGGAAACTCGTTCCAGCAGAGACAGACAACACAGAACAGTGTCCAGTGTCCCAAGATATAAACAAAACTGCACCACACTCATAAATACCCTCGACAGCATAACTAAGGTTCAACATGGCATTTCTCTATAAAACCAAAGGAACCATCACATTCACCTCATTGTGAACATATGACGGATCATGTGTAAGGAGATATTTTGAAAACCTCACCGCTGAGTTTGCCGTTGACCATGACGTACAGATGCTCCTGTGGGAAAGCGCTGACGTCTCTGGAGATGGCGTGAAGGCCGATGGTGGGATACTCCAGAGAGAAACCCATCCCTGAACCATCGAACCACGACAGACGCCTGAGAACAACACAACACACACAAATAGATGACAGTTGTTTGCATGTAAGCTGCAGAACCAGTGAACAAGGTCAGTGAACAAGGTCAGTGAACAGCAGATGAACACGTGTGTTTCAGTTATTAATGGATTGTTAGACAGAGAGCAGAGAAACCACAGAATGTACGACTTCACCTCTCAGATATGAAGAGATTTAACTCCATGATCGTTAGAGAGCGAGCGGCTGAAGCACCTTTCAGTTCATTCAAGTTCCTTGAAGCTGAGAGTGGAATGAAACTTACTGAACTAAAAGAGAAAATCAAGAGTTAATCTGTCGATGATAAATCATGTCTCAGTCTGATTCAGTCTGATTGAGAGATTTTGTTGATTTGAGTTTTCTCTGGTCTTTGGTGGGTTATGAGAAGTTGTTAATGACATTTATAAAATCAAACCATCGTGATTCAAGTGATTCATTCATTTCAGCAGCTCCGCAAATGAGCTGAACAACTCCATTTCCGGTTATTATTGTGAAGGAGACTACTCCGGAAGTGGTTCGCGTGAAGCATCGTGGAGACTTTTACTTTATGTTATTTTGTTTTTCCTGTTTGTTTGTTTGTTTGTTAAAAACGTCACGTGATGAAATTACACGAACCCGGAAGTTTCCGGAGACAAACTAACACTCACGCTTCAGTGACGTAGAGCGTCCCGCAGCCGAGCCTCTGTCCGTCCAGCACCGCCGCGGTGTCGGCCTGTTGGAGCCGGACTCCCCCGGTGGGAGGCTGGAGGTTCTTCAGGAGAACCATCGTCACTGCGGAGAAGAAGAACCACGAGGCTGCGACTTAGACCCGCGACAAGCTCTCACTAACCCGGGACAAGTTCCCACTAACCCGGGACACGCTCTCACTAACCCGGGACACGCTCTCACTAACCCGGGACACGCGCTCTCTGACCCGGTCCACTGGAGCCGGACCTCGGTGTTGCTGCTGCTTCTGATCCGGTCGCGGATGAAGCGTGGCGGGTAAAATCCAGACGTGACGGATCCTCCGCGTCGAGCTGCCAAAGACGAAATATCGCGAGAAGACGCTTCAAGGCGCCACGAGTCACGTGGCCGCCACGAATTTACGTCAGTTCTTACGTAAGATTCACAAAACCAGCGTGAATTTTATTTTGAATGTGCTTACCGGAAGTGTTTTGTGTGCTAATTTATGCACCTTGATGACTGTGGACGCCCTCCAGTGGCCACATTGCGCAACTACAAGCTCATCTATTGTGAAAAAGTTACTGTGGAGATTTTCATTCATGAAACTTTTTTATCGATATAAAATGTTTTTGTCAACAATGAGAAGGAACAAACCAAACAAATTCCATAAAAAAACAAATAAAGCAGCAAAATAAATCAGTGAATAGATTCCAAACAAATGATTCCAAACATGACATATTGTGAAACATCCGGTGTGTGTTACATCTTAATGCTTCATACCAACACAGTCTGTGTTTTATAAATATATATATATTTATCTTTAGAATTCATCCCACCATTAATATTTGTGTCCATCTTCACTAACGTTGATTTGATATATCTTCATTTATTTTGTAGAACAGACATTGAATCACTGTTTAATTACTTTCATTATTTTAATTTGACCTCGGAATCAGTTTAGAAACACGGTTTTAAACTCCAGGTAAAGATTCCACAGGATATTTCAGTTGTCACGAGCTTTAAACTAATTTAATGAGCTTTTATTTATTCGTTATAGATCAATTAAAAACAACGGTTTTTTTAACTTGTTTTTGTAAAAATAAAAATCCAAATGTTCTTTTCCTCCTTCGAGAATTTACTTTTTATATAATTTCAATAAAAGATGTTTAAAAAATCAGCAAAGACAAAAACTTAAAAGAATTTGCATGAGCCATAATCATGGGTTCACACTGCCATCCGGTGGTCATACTGTGTAACTACATCCGTGTGATTTATAAAGGGTTTTTTTTTTTTTGAAAGCCTAACCGGAAGTACTTCTTATGCCATTTTGTCTAACTTGACTTAAGAGACGCGTTATTGTAGTTACTCAATGTGGCCACTAGAGAGCAGCACCCCCCTGAATTTAGAAAATCAGGTTCTGTGATATGGAAGTTTGGACCGAACTGTTTGATGGATGTTTGATGGATGTTTGATGGATGTTTGATGGATGTTTGATGAATGTTTGATGAATGTTTGATGGATGTTTGATGGATCATTTCATTAATCAGCAACTGTTTTAATTGTTTTGCAAATTTTCAGCCAAAATATCAAAGATTTCATCTTCTGCTTCGTCAGGTTTATTCATTAATTATCTTACAATTGTTTACAACTTCCTGTTTGGTCGGAGATTCTCACCACTTTACATCATCATGGACATTTATAAATACAACAATCATTTAAATTGTGAGGTGACAATTGAAATGAGGAAATTAGTTAGTGCACACAAATAGAAAATAAGTGAGAACTATTAACAGTGAAAGATATAAAAAGAGATTTTTTATGTTATATTATTTCTAGAGAAAATCTTAATTAGTTCACATTTATTCAGGGAAACCTAAACTTAATGTCTGTAGAATCACAAAGTCTCAAATTCAATTCATGAAGCAAATCTGGTCATTTTCGTGTTCCTCTGTTGGTCAATAGAAAAATCCTCCGTTCAAATGACACCAAAACTAAAAATCTCTGATAGTTTGGGGAAGAAAAAGTCACAGACGGCAGAGTGAGTGTGTTTGAGGAGATGCCTGGATGTTGGTTTAATAACTTAGAAAACATTTGTTACAGAGAAACTACAGTAACAGTACAACAGAGAAATGAAAGGAGCTGCAGTCACGTCCACTGGTGCCTGCTCTCAGTGAGTCCACATTTCAGTTTACTGAACATTTTAAAACCAACAGAATCTGTCACAGAGGAAAACACACAGGTGTAAAAAGTCTCCATCAACATGAGGAAGAAAAAAACAAAGAAATAATAAACTGAGTAAAAAAGGAACATTATAAAAATACTGATCTTTGCAGAGAAGCTGAAATCTGAATTTTCAAGAGTTTAGAGTTTGGGCAGTTTAATATTATTAATATTAACATTATTAGTCAGTTATTTGTGAAGGACGTGAAATCACTGCTGCAACGATGGAGATGTCGACTTTTAGGGGATTCACTGTTTCATCAGTTTGTATTTCTGTTCTCGTCTCAACTGAACGATAAGAGGAAAGTCCCTGAAACAACATTTAGAGATTTAACTGACGGAGACTCTGGGATCAGTTTCATCACAAACTGTGAAACATCAGAGTTCAGAAAAACAAACCCGAGAGCTTCATCATTAAATCAGTGATTCAATCTCTTTTCGGGGATTTTTGCAAACTGACTTTTTTTAAACAGAAGCAAAGAGTTTAAAAAAAAAAAATCACCTGGTTTTGTTCATTTCTGGGTTTTTAATCTTTTTTAGGAGCGAAATGTAAATGACAGAATTTTACTTTTTAAAAAGACAGATTCACAACACAATGAACTTTAAAGTGATTATAGAGGAAAAGTTTCAGACCATGATTTGAACAAACGAATCATCCCCAGCAGCTCAGTGGATCCAACAATGATTCACACGTCGGTTTTAAAGTCTCTGGTTTCCATCGTGTCGTCGTCAGTTTGTGGACTTTTTCCATCAAACGAAAGAAAGAGACTGAAAATGATCTTTTAGTTTCTGTTTTTTATAAAAGTTTCATGACCGTGTCCTGATGTGACGTGAAAAAGAACAAGAACATTTTCAAATCTGGTCAAATCAAGTTTCTATCAAAGAAAAGTTGAATTTAAGATCAGACTCGTCCTCAGTTCTTTTAGTTTGAATTTAACAGGAAGTTAAACTTTTCCTTCTCGTCACCTTCTTGTATTTTCTGTTTGTTTTATTTTCACACATTTGTAGTTTTTGCAGAAAAAGTCGAATGTGGGTAAAATATGAATTTTAGTTTCAAGGGTGAATCCGTGTGTAACTGATGTGATGATGTCATCACGTGAAAGTTAATAAACGCTTCATTGGTCACATTTGAAATCTCAGAGGTTTGATAAAGGAGCAGAAGAAAGAGAAACATCTGGGATCAGGTCGGAAACCTTCACGTTATCGTGAACAGCAGAATAAATCTTTTAAAGCCTCGACAGTGACTCGACAGTGACGTGAAAGAACTTCTCCCAGCTGAGATGACGACTGAGAAAATAAAAAGTTTGTTTGGTGACTGACTTCCTCCCCTGAGCCTCAATCAAAAAAATAAAGCTTTGTTCCTTCTTTAAAAACTCGGGGTTTAGGAAATGTTTAAAAACCTCTGGACATGTACAACTCAGGCTGAAGAAGACAAACTTCTGTTTCAAACCTGACGAAGTCTCAACACAGATGAAATGTGCGTCAGTCTGCACACGTCCGTCCTCCACAGCAGCGTCTCAACTCCTTCATATAGAAAATATAACACTATATTTTACAAGAGGACTAAGAACAGAACATCTATTATCTTACAGGGAACAAGCAAAGTATTTACAGCAAACGTGTCCCGCCCACAACGTGTGGGACGAACGAGCCGCCGGTGTGACACCGAACACTGGGAGGAAACGTCCCGGACTCAAAGCGGATCAAAGCGGATCAAAGCGGATCCAGAGTTTCAGCTCAACGTGATTCATCATCTCCGAAAGAGTTTCAGAGTCTGGATTCAACAAGTGTTTCTAAAACCAAGAGGATTTTAAATTCTGTAAGATTCAGTTCATCGAATAATCAAATTTAATTTTCTTTTTTGTCATAAAACCTAAAATGTTTCACATTCATCACATCAGATAAATAAACTCATGAGAAAAGTTTCTGTGAAAAATAAAATGATGGATTCTCGACGTGGATGTTGATTATTTTTTAATCCTGTGAAACATTAACCAGCTGAACGAGCTGTGACGTGATCGTCTGAGAGGAGCAGGTTTAATCAGACCCGGGTCCTGCGCCCGACCTCTGACCTCTGACCCCTGACCTCTGACCCTCGACCTCTGACCGGTTCCACTGGACGATCGTTTCCTGTTGACCACATTAAATCGTGTCCAGGACTTGAATGAGAAACATCTCGTGTCGATGGTTCTGATTTTATTATCTGAGATTTGTTTCTTCAAACCAGAACAACGAGGAAAATCCTCCGCTGAAGTAAAAAACACGGAGACTCTGAGTCACCGCGTGTTTAAGTGATTTGACCGCCCGAGCAGAGAGAGAGAGAGAGAGGATCCAGATCCTTGTTAGAACCACGTCTCTCAGGAAACTGGCTCATTTGTAGGAAACGGTGAAAACACTTGTTGAAGCAGATTTTTCTCAAACTTAACTAAAAAACACAAAATCGCTCTGAAGACGTGAAAATAAGTTTGTGTCATTTAAAAAGTGTTTGTGTTTGTTGTTGTCTCGTCTCCTGATCCGACCCGAAGTGTTCAGTTTGACTCTGGCCCTCTGCTCGGTTATTAAGTGCTATGAGAATGATGAAGTGCTAAGAATGAGGTACAACACCCCCCCCCCCCACACACACACACACACAGGACGAAGCTCTGGGAAATGGTCCCAACAACCTCCGGCCGCTCGAGTGCGTCCACTGAAACTCAAAGTGCTGCCGGTCCCGGACGTGAGGACGAGGGCACCCGTGAGTCTCTGTTGTGAGGTGCAGCACGCGATGGTGGACAGCACTCTACCACGATACAACAGTGAGGAGAAGACGGGGGAGAGCAAAGAGGAGGAGAAAGGGGAGGGAGGGGGGACATCCTGTTCAGAGGTGGGTTGTGGGTAAAAAAAAAGAAACTAAAAGAAATAAGCGAGCGTTATTCAAACAAACAGCCATCATGACTGCGGACTGTTCTGGACAGAGTTTAATGAGTCCGTCTGGCCCTCCTCCTCCTCCTCCTCCTCCTCTTCGTCCTCCTCCTCCTGGTCTGGATGGAGGGGGCCGTTGTGCCTGCCCTGCCTGCCTGAAGCTTCATTGTCCCTGGGTACTGTGGAACTTCCAGTCCCGGGCTTCACTGGGCCTCTGGAGGTCCGGTGTATGTTTGACGGAGACAAACTACGGCCCCTTCCCTTTTCCTGAGCATCGCTGTCGGACCTCCTCTCTGCTGCTGAAGACTTTTTGGTCGTCACCTTCTGTCTTCCCTCCTCTTCCTCTTCTTCATCATCGTCATCATCATCATCATCATCATCCGAGTCGATGCGGTTGAGTCTTTTGCGGACCGGGCGATCTTCCTCCGACGATGACTCAGAGTCCTCAGACTCGTCCTCGTCCTCATCGTCCGTCGAAGGCCGTCGTTTCTTCAGCATCTGAGCGAGCCGCCTGCGCCGCTGCTGTGACAGAATCTCTCTCCTCTTTCCTCTGCCCATCTTCTCCAGGTCCTCCTCTTCTCTGTCTGTCCTCTTTAATCTCCTCCGCTTGTCCTCCTCCTTCTCCAACAGTTTCCTTTTCAGCCGCCTCCCTCTCTCTCTGTCGTCTTCCTCGTCTCTGTATCTCCTCCGCTTTTCCTTCATTCTGTTCCTCCAGTGGTCTTTCTCCTCTTTCCTCCTCCTGTTCACTCTCCGTCTCTGGTCGTCGTCGTCTTCGTCTTCATAATCCTCCTCCTCCGCGGAGTCTCTGGAAGAATGCGACACTGGAGGAGAAGCAAAGAGGAAGAATTAACTGAGCGGATTAAATCTTTTCATCTCATCTCCAGGATTTACATATTTATTTATTTCTTGTTCTTCTTGATTCTTTTTCTTGTTGTGAGGAAACTTTATTAAGAATTATCCTTCACATGAACGACACCTGAATGGAAACTATCTTTTTCTCCAGCTGATGATTCAGAACATGAATATTTGAAAGGTTTGTACTTTGACCTCAAATTAAAAGTGAGGAAACTGAGGTTGACTGACCATCGCTGTAGTCGCTGGAGAGATGCTCCTTGCGTGGCCGGCCGCGTGGTTTGACCTTGTTCCTGTTGGCCGAGGCCTTGGAGTTGTCCGACGACTCGGACGTCTCGCGGTAGTTGACCTGCTGCCGCTGGCCGCGCCTCAGGCCCCGCCTCTTTTTTTCAGTTTCGCTGTCAGTCATGTTGCTGAACTGATCGGAGTCTAGACAGGACGCGGAGAGAGAGAGAGAGACCGTGTTTCTTATTAGGAACTGAAAAATAAATTAAATTCACCTCATGAACTCTGCAGGAGCCTGACAGCCCGACAGTCTCCCCGACTCGTGCACTCACCTATTTCTTCTTCACTTTCTTCCTCCTCTTCCTCGGAGGAGTGTCTTCGCCGCCGCCTTTGTCGTTTCCTCCCCCTACGTTGGATCTTGCTGGGTCGTTGTTTGGGAACCCCTCTTAACGCCCGCTTGGGGCGGGTCGCACTGTCCCAACTGCCCACCTCGCTGCCACCATCTTCATCTTCCTCCTCATCGTCATCTGCCCCAGACGCACCGAAGTCTTCATCCTCTGAGCTGGAAGAGGAAGAGGAGGATACTGAATAAAGAGAACTTAAAAAATGGAACAGAGAGTGAGTGAGTGAGTGAGTGTGTGTGTGTGTG